AGAAAAGAAGCTATACTTACCTCTTGGACACCGCATATACCTACGAAAGGATTCTCTGTGCCGTGTCGTCATTATAGAGTAAATTAAGAAGGCTTTACTCTGTAATACTAGGTAAGCCTTGGCTACTCTAGTTGGTTTAAGCCACAGATATTTACTTAGATATGTCTAAGTTCTTATTTTTAGTATTAGGTTTAAACATTAAGATTTTTTTCAGTTTTTGTAAAAAATTTTTATCAAATTTAATAAAGATAAGAGCAAGGTTTTATTATTAATTATTAAAAAAAATAAATAAATAAAAAACTTTATTTATATATTGAATATGTATTAATTTTTTTATAAACTTATATAAAAATTTTTAAATATAAAATTTTATTTTATATAATTACTATTTAGTTAACTAAGCTAACTAAGCTAGATTTTATATTATTAGCTTAATTAGTTAATATTTAAAAACTGACTACTAATACTATAGAAAAAACCTATATTTTAAATAGAATTTAATATGATTTGCATTTAGAAAACATGTATTTAAAAGGAGTTAATTATATAAATTAGGCTTTGTTTAAGCCAAATTTGAGTTTAATAAATTAAATTAGGCCTAGGTTAGACTTATAATTTACAAATAAATTTAGGCCTAAACAAACTTAGCATATTGCATACTTTACAGTAAGTATATATATCTTGTATTATTTTTAAAAAATATTTTTTTTCAAAAAAGTAATAAAATATATAAGGCTAAACATGTTAGTTTTTTTTTAGTAAGTAATAAAACTTTGAGCTTGTTAGCAAGTAGTATTTGAAAACTATTTCTAAATAACAAGTGTTATTCTCATAAGCTCTAAACCTATTAGCAAGTAGTACCGTAATTTGCGGCAAATAGTACCCTCTTGTTAGTATACCCCCACGATTTGTACTCGGGATTAATCAAGTATTTGTCGCAAACATGATTGTAAAAGACCTGGGTATATCTAAGATGCAATTTATATAGTGCATGACTTCTTTATGTCTTTTTTTTTCAATTTCATTATAATTCTATTAAGTGATTGGTCAGTTGAGGTATTCTCCTCATATAAACTCCCCACATAAAATACCCTCCACCTGACAAAGTACCCACCGGGTACTAATCAAGATTTTGCTCCTAGGAATGTAAGAGACCCAGGGTACTATTTGCCGCAAATTACGGTATATAAGAACTATCTCTAAATAATAAGTGCTAATTTATAGTTTTCTTTAGTTTTGTATCTCTTTTCTTTACCATGGCTTATAGTTTTTATCAAAAAATTTTTTGTTGTAATGTTTGATACAAGAGATTGTAGAAAGAGTTACTAAGAACTAATCTGATCTTAAACATTGTAATAATTAGCATGTAAATTACAAATTAAATTTTTTAAAAAAATAAATTATAAGTAAATTTATAACAATTTTTTAAACAAATTTGTCTAAAAAAATCTACAAATTAAAAATAGCACACTAATAACACCATAAATTAAATTTGATTACTTTTTTAAAAAAAAATTTATTAAAGATTTTAGCTTTTATCTAATTTTTGTTGTAATTGATTGATTAATTTAAATTTATTTAATACTTTCTATTTTGAAAATTTCAAAACAATAGCTTTTTAATATAAAAACTTAAAAGAAAAAAGAATAATTATAAGTTCGACTATATCTTTCTCACGCTTAGATAATATCCTTCTAATATAAATGTTTACTCACACTTAGATAATATAGAATACGTTTCTGCATCCTTCTAATATAAGTGTTTATACCCATGTCATCTTAAAAACGCTATTCGTTAATAGTCAATCCTAAAGCCAACTCCACCAATCACGTAAATTTGTGCTTTATCAATAGAAATTCTAAAAGTTTGTGGTATATTTATAGTTGCTAATGAAAATTAAAAGTTCTTAATTATCAATAATAAATGAAAAATTACAAATACAAAGAAAATAACTATTGTAATAAGTAATTAAAGACAAAAAATTTCACAATTATTCAAATTTTTTGTCGTATATTAGCCATTGTTTTTTTTTAATCAAGAACACCACCACCAAAAACAGTAATTTTTTTACAAATTTTTCCAGCGCCCAACCAAAAAGAAATGTTTGTTAAAATTATGATAATATGTACACAAAAGTAGAGCAATTTCCAAACATGTAATGAATTCTCCCATGTAAGTAAATTAAATGAGACGGTAAGATAATTGACCATAGTTTGAGTAACAAGCCAGCCCAAGACATTATATAGAGGTTTATATCGGGCGAAACGGTTAGTTAAAAAAATTGGACGAACAGCACGATGAATTTCTTCAAAAACAAATAATAATAGTAATTAGAAAATGCACCACGTATCACGTGAAAGTTACCAAATGTAACTACTTACTTCGATAAAGATTTTGGATAAATGCACCACTAATAAAAGTCACTATTGAAAGAAAGAAATTAATAATTTAATTGAAGTACGAATAACGTCTAAAATTTTACGCAAAGGTATAATCTTACAATAGTATCCAGGGTAAAAACCATGCCATACAGCGCTTATTCCAAATGTGATAATAGTTGAAAAGAAACCTGGTTTTTGACCAGGTGGTGTTACTCTAAGGTACACATAATTTTTCAACCATTTATTTGTATTCATATTCCAAGATTCTAGTAGTTGTCTAATATTATCGGCTGTTTCATACCCAATAATATCAATGTTTGTAACTCGATTCCTTTGATAACACGCGACGAATCACGTGACGATATATAAATAATGTGTAATATAAATTTTATAAAAAAGAGACGCGTAATTGAAAAAGAAGCTTACCATTTAACATTGCCATTCTCGTCATAACCATTAAACCCAATTCCCGAAAGAATGCAAGAACCTTCGGCAAGCAACCAAATAACGTAATATCTAAATCTAGCGCAAAAACTTGCCATTTGAACATACCATAATCTGATAAGAAAATGAAAGATTAATAAAATTCAAGATACGAAGGAAAAAGGAATTAAAAATATATAATCTAATTAATTCATAGAATATTTACTTATTAAAGAATGATAGATTTTTATATTCTTCGCCCAAAGTCCAATCATAAGGATATTTACCACCAAACGTGACCAAACACACAATAAAAAAGAAACCTGCAACCAATTTTCTCATAGCAGGAATAGAACCATCAGGTATAACGTATAAAGATCGCTTAGAAATTTTATAATCTTCTTTAATGAATTTATTCTTTTCATTATCAGTTTTATCAATTCGATACATTTCCATATTGACAAATCTTCTATAATCCATAAAATCAAAAGATGGACCGATCAAGAATCCACCAAAAAAGAAAACATAACCTAAGAATTCAAGCAATGGTGGTAATGAAGGAATTAATTTACTCTTTTGATTTGGAGTAAGCTCCTGTAATAGACAAGTAGTACAAGCATGGTATGTGTCAATTAAAAAGAAAAGGCATTTAAAAAAATCGAGTGAATGAATACTTTAATTGGCCTTCGTCCATCATAAACGTTAAAGGCGAAAGAAGTAAGTTTCATAACCAGCACCATATGTGGACCGGTAGGATCATAACGTTCAAGTGATATGTTGTTCCATTGACGATATAAATGGCTATTGTTAACAAGTGAAAAATATGAACATTTAAAATTATCTTAATATATAATAATAAAGTAATAAAACAATAGCAACTCGCATTGTTACACATGATCTTAACTTGCATTGTGTAACATGAAGTTGATTTAGACAGTTCTTTTTTCAAAACTTACGTACTTAATACTTAAATGTCCCAAAACAAATAAGAAAACAAGCTTTGGACCCCAAGGACCTTTAACGAAATACAATATTCCATAAGTCAAAGCGGAATTAAATAACATGATCCAAAATGCTTTTGCCAAATCCATTAAACCAAATAATATAAAAATTGCGAAAGAAATTGAAAAAAGATGTTTGAGATTTTGATTATTTGCAGGTAAATTTTTGTATATTAAAGCCATCGGATAAGCGATTAATAATGAGAAGGTTAGTCTCAAATGGTCTTGAGAAACTTGGCCACCAAAAAGGGCAACAAGTTTAGAGAAAAATTGATTGAATAATGGCATAATAATTGGGAAGAGTGAAAAAGACAAATGATGGAGATAACAAGTTTAAAAAAGAAAAAATCGTAAGGTATATCTTTTTTTTTAAAAAAAAAAAAAAATTGATTGTATGATTCGCGATTTAAGTCATTGTATCTTAACAATACTAATACTGATACGAGAAATTACTTTTTAATAAATGATTATTGGCACTATGGCATGTGTTTTCCAGCCACGGAACGATAAACACATGCAAATATAAACAAAAATTGGGGCAAAATTCAATTACTTGTACTACTATGATTAACGATTTGCGTAATATTAACGTGAATGAAATAGTATTGGTATGGATTTCCACTTAACATTATTAATTAACTAGTTAGTTAAGTATTGTTCAAAAATCTAAAGTGATCTGTGAATGTAAATTGACGCGCCAATAAAGTCTATATAATTTATTAAATTTATTATATATTTATTATTATATTAAATAAATAAAATTTATTAATTATTTTATTTAAAAAAAGACGATATTTATTTATCGTCTTCTGGAACCTCTTTGATCGATAATAAAATCGATCACTCTTCGAACGGGAGATACACTTCGCGAACGAAGCTCTGAATCATCATCATCAGATGATCCACCATTTGTGGTTCCAGACTCATTTGTTGAGGTTCTGCGTGGCTGGCGACGAAATATTTTATCCTAAATAGAATAACAAAGATTAACAACAGAGAATAAAAAAATGTACATGCAACATAAACCATATATTGATCAGCATACCACGACGCTTTCAGCGCCAAACCTTGCAGCAAAACCCCGAACAAATTCTTGACTCCTGTATTCCCAAAGGGCAAAAGTTTGTGCCAAGTCATTTCTCAGCTCAGAGAGGTCATTAGACAGTTCCACCTTGGTCCCGTGCCAATTTTGGTGGATTGTGGTACGAATCTCGGAGATGGACTTTTTCATGTGCAGCTCCTGCTCCTGTAAAAATAACATATTTAGATTTAATTTTAATTTGATTAATTTTTTTTTTTTATTGAGTTTCCATATAACAGTTTCATACCTTAAGGAATCCAATATTTAACTCCTTTGGAGAAACGCCCCTTTCTAAATTGCGCCGGATGTACTGGTCATAGTCCCGAACTATTCGGGTTATAATATCTGAGGTTGATATACCGTCAGTACGTTGCGTAGGAAGAAACCGACCCTGATCCTTAACAAAGGCATAAATATCATCAGTGCCCTCGGAAGCATAAGGAAGGTCATCGTGCGCGACGTAGTCTATCTGAAATAATAAATTTTTTTGATTAATAAATTATCAACCAAATTTTAAAATCTTTTATGGTAGCGTACTTTATGTTTATCTATAAAATCTTGATCCACGACCCATGGGGCGTGTTCAATAACTTCGTCCACCCATTTACAGTGTCTTAATGATTCCGCACGTTCGTGCTCATTAAGAACTGTTTTACCTTTTTTTTTGTTAGTCGTTTCGTCGTCACAGACTTTTATAAAAAATAAAAATAAAAAATAAAATAAAATTTACTGTCAAACATAAAAAGTTTTAATGTAATAATATAAAATTATACATACCGCCGACCAACAGGTGGACTTGTGGAAAAGACTTTTTTGCTTGCTCTAAAGATTTGGCATGGCCAATATGGAACAGGTCATATATCCCGTCGCAATATATGCGAACAGGTCTATCGGTTGGTGGTGTATTGATTTTAAACGGGCGTTCTTTTAATATTTGTGCCGTCTTGCTTTTCTCTCGTGCTGCCGTTTTATTTTCTCGTAAAAATTGATTTGTATTTGATGAACCGTTAATTCCTTCGGTTTTAGGCCTCTTTGCTGGAGAAGAAATGACAGTTGTAGTATTAGCGGAAGACTCAGATAAAGACGTATCTACATTATCTTCTTCGGATGTATATACAGAAGAGTCGGAGTTTGCATTCTCTAGCTTGTCATTAGCAACGTCACTTTTGTAGGAAGGTTCTTTTCTCTTTCGGTTAGTAAGTGACATAATTGTCATTATATTGTCACAAAAAAACGTTATAATAATGTATTTATCAAGTTAAATGTGTCAACTTAAAATCAAATGACTTTACAAGTTGTTCTTAAACCACGAATATTGATGGGAAAAAATTAGGAAAGAGAACAAGAAAGAAAGAGATATTGCGGTCCCAGAATGAAAGATCGACCTTATCTTTAACTTGTAAATGTGTAACACAAGAGTTTCAATTAACATTATGAAAGCACGTGTTAATACAACGCCTACAACGCCTCTGAAAATCTTACTGGAGATTGCACAATGTCCGGTCACTGCAGGTTTGTTTTTTATTTACTCGAATGGGTCTTTTATCATGTCATAATTAACGTTAAAAATATGCCTCCTCGACCAGTATCTAAAATTACTAAAATAGCGTCAGTGACACTAAATTAGTTAAATTAGGTACTAGCCCGGTCTATATTAGGTAAGGTGATCTGCATAGCGCTGGTAGATGCGAGACAACTAATATTCATCTCAAAATTAATTACTGAATTATATATTTAGCGTTAGCGTTAGTAATTTGATAACGATAATCTATGTAGTAATCACATACGTCGTGACGCATTTTTTTATGCGGATAGATGGATGAATTGTATCATAATTTTATTGAGACTTTTTAACCTCAACGCTCCAACATGAAACAAGAAACCTTATTTCATTTGCATTATCCTGATTATGAAAATCCGCCTGTGCGACATGACGTGTTTGGGGTAGCTAATTTTTTAGCCAATCATATCATTTGGGTCCTATATACGTAGCAGAAACTGATGATCCTTAAAATTGACCAATTATATATACGCACGTTATAATTTTAGAAAATTTTCGAACTTACTAGAAACACACAATAGTATTCAACGCTCGAAAACTAACTCTTAAGCGATTGGTATCTGGTACGTAGATTTCTGCACCTCCAAAACTCTCCTGATTCTTATTTTAACCTTAAACTTACAATAACCCTAACCCTAAATTTTTATTAGTAAAAAAATTATTATTTGTAAAATATGGGATGGCACCATTAGCGTATTTAGTTCTATTCTATACAGTCGTCCCTCCATATAGTCACCTCCCATATAATCACATCATATGTAATCACATTTTTATTTAGGACAAACTATGATTTAATTTATAAGAAAAAAACCTCCATATAAGCACAACCCCTTTATAAGCACATTTTTAAAAAAATTTACTATGTGCCCAACTGTGTGATTGTATGGGAGGATGACTGTATCAGATATATATATATATATATATATATATATTGTATATATCGATACTGTATTTTTTATAATTAGAATAGTGTACAGTACGTACGTACGTAAGTGTGTGTGTACATATCGGTAGCTTTATTTTTTTTATAATTAGAATAAATGTTTTACAAAAGGCACTAAGCAATGTTAGGATTATGACAATATTTTGATGTCAGAATACTTATCATACTCTATTAAGGACCCAGTTTGCCTAATTTGGAGTAGTCAGGATCTCATGATCTTATACCTTTCAATGAATTGATTCAAATGGTATAAAAAATCATGAACTTTCTATTACGTATAACACTGTATATATCGATATATTCTTGCGTTGTACTGTAATTCTTTCTCAAAGATATTGGATAATCTAGTGACCAGAATTAGAATACTTGGAGATAATCAATCTGGATATCTGTTCAAAATTTATATTTGTTGTGTAATTCGTTTCATTTGGCGTAATTCTTTTATAAATCTGTTCAGTCTTGTATAGTTCTTTTAGGAATATATTGAATCTAGTACGTACAAATTACTTTTTATATTTTATCTGAGCTTATCTTATGGTTTTGTTAAATAATACGGATAGGGCCAGAGTTGCTCAATAGTTGCGAATGGGCCAATGGAACTGTGAATGGAACCAATGGATACTAGTTTTTTGAACTCCATTCGCATAACCACTAAGCTCTACTAGCTCTATTGCCCAACTCGTGTCAAAGTGTTCTATTAGTAGGGTATTTAACACCACAATTTCTATATCGTATCTCAAAAACTTGAGAAGCAATTAACTCTTGATGTTTTAAACAAAGTGTTTAGCGTTTCAAAACCCTTTGTTTATTTTTAATACCTTCCAATTTTTTAATTAACTTTAAATATTGACAAAAAAAAATTATTTAAAAGAATATAGAAGTAGTAGTATAGCTTTTATCTAATAAATATTTTTTAAAATTTATATATATTTAATAACTATATATTTGATCAAATTTAATAAAAAATTTTTATTTAAATTTTACGTATAAATTTATAAAATTTTAAAAAAAATTTAGTAGTTATTGTAAAAATTAATATTTAATTCGTTTTAGAGAATTACTTCTCACCAGTATAGTTTTTAGGGTTAGAATGCATTTTTAATAGTTTTTTTTTTTTTTTTTATAATATAATATAGGAGGTTCCAATTTAGTTCCCGTGAGGTTTTCAAGGGTTCTGGACATTTTTACTTAGAGTACCCGATCCCATTTACTTAGTAGGTTTTTGAGATATAGCAACACTGGTGATGATTACTAGTGGTGATAAATAGTAAATCTCTGTTTTATTATAAAAATTATAATAATTTAATAATTTTTTTTTGAAAAAATCTAGACAGTGGCCTTATAGCAAAATTAGGCTCATAATAAAAACTAAATGATAAGTTCTGTAAAAGTTTTAGAATATTATAATAAAAATCGCAATAAATTCAAATATAATCTAACAAATATAATATTAATATACTACAGTATTATTACTAAAATAGTAAGTGCTTTGTAACAGAATTAGGGTTAGGTTAGAGTTGGATTAAAATTAGTGTTTAAAATTAGTAATATAAAATTGCAAAAAAAATATTTTTGTTTAATTATACTGTATATTGTAATAGAGGTTGTTTTAGTATAAATTTGAGATATTAGCAATTTTATAATAGATAATACAAAGTGTATAAAGCACTAACTTAGTTCGGTTTTTTTTTAATTTTTAAAAATATTTTAAGCATACTTGTTATATAAAATTTATTAAAAAAATAATTAAAACTAGAAAATAACTAAAATTCACTATAGGTAATTATTATCTGTGATTTACAATATATATAAAAAAATAAGAATACCGTAGGTTTCCGAAAATAAGCTACTCTTTTTTGGCCAAAAAGTTATACAAAAATCATAGAGGTAGCTTATTTTCAGGTAAAATTTTGAAAAAGTTGATTTTTATTATTTTTTCAAAATCCAGAAGTAGTTTCTATATAAAAGTCAAAATTCTATTAAGTAAACCGATGAAAGTCACTTAATATAAGTTGTTCAGGATGTAAAATACACATATCTTGAAAGTTTGAAGCAAATCAGAGAACTTTTTACTATGATATTTTTGCATTTTACGTTCAAACGTAAAATGCAAAAACATCTTAGTAAAAAGTTCTCTGATTTGCTTCAAACTTTTAAGATATGTGTATTTTTATATCCTGAACAACTTATATTAAGTGACTTTCATCGGTTTACTTAATAGAATTTTGACTTTTATATATAGAAATTACTTTCGGATTTTTTTAAAAAAATTATCAGGGGTAGCTTATTTTCAGAATAAAGATTTTTCTTATGTTTCTTCTTCAAGAAAAGAGGGGGTAGCTTATTTTTGGAGGTAGCTTATTTTCAGAAACCTATGGTACATTTATTCCTCACCCAGGGTAATGCTTGATATTTCTCATCCACATTATGATATTATAAAATTTTACTAGAGTAGCCCTGTTGTATAACTAATAAAAAATATTTCTTTTGCAATTTTGCTCTAGCCTAACCCAAAACTAACCCTAATTTTAACCCTAACTCTAATATATTAATATGGCCGAGTTTCATTTTGTACTTAAGAGGGGGGTGAATAATTCACCTGGGTGTTAAATAAATTATTTTATAAATTAAATCAAAAAAATTAAATCTTATTAAGAAATAATACTATAGAACTCTTTTTAACAATCACTTGAACCATATTTTCCAAAAAACATTTTACTACAAAAAGAGACTTTACAAGCTAGCACTTGATATACTAGACAATAAGTCAGCACCTGTCATTTAGAAGTACTTGCTGACAGACTTAGAGTTTATCACTTACTGTATAGTCTTGGCACTTGTCGTTTAGAGATAGTTTTTATATGCTACCTGCCGACAAGCCCAGAGTTTATCACTTACCGAAAAAAAGTTAAGCAGGTGTTGGGCAGTAGGTCTTGTCTGTAGAAAAAAAAACTTACACTCTTTTAAATTAGTTTGAAGCTCAAGTGGTCCCTCTTTACCTCTTGTTATTTTTCTATCGATTTTCAAAAATTTTTTATAAAAAGTAGGGATTTGGCTTACCCCCTTTAAAAGATCAGCATTGTTTACTTACCAAATTCGGATGGACTGGTAAATAGCAACCATGTGTTTGGAGATGAATACATTGTACGGGCCCTGAAATAAGTCCCGGTTAAAAAAGGAACACCTGGTAGCGGCACTAAGTGGCTTGAGATATAAGTACCTGAGTGACAGCACCTTTACAGAAATGGCACGTCCTTGTTGTCATTGGCGCCGTATATGGAGAGTCAGATTCTAGTACTGCAGCAGCACTTGGTTTGAGATATGGACTAGATTATTAAAAAGATTCAGAAATAGGTCGAAGAGAATTTTAAGGTTAAGTTTAGACTTACAACAGAGATATACAGATGTTGCATCTGGTATATAATTTTTAAATCACCTGGCACGGGTTATAATAGTGTATTTGGATTGTTTAATTTTTTCTTTTTCTGCTTGTTTTATATATTTTCATTTATATTAGAATCGGTTTAGGTTCTTTTTTCCTTTTTTTCTATTTATTTCATTTTCTTTTTTGTTTTTGTTTTTTTTTTAAAACAATTTCTATTTTTTTTCGGTTATAAGAGAGCTTTTAGAGAGTTTCTTTAAATGTACCTTCCTTCATAATGTTGGCATATATGTTAGTCTTATATAGAAGTAGGAGATAATATATATAATCTGCTAGGATTTAAGTGGATTGAGTTCAGAAAGATATTACCAAAATTTAAAGTAGAATAACTTGAAAGAAGAGATCGGCTTTTAAAAGAAGTTTTTCTTTTGTAAATTGGCATATATATTTGCACTATATAGAAGTAGGAGAAAATATATTCTGCCCAAATATTAGTGAAATAAGTCTAGAAGGAAGGTAAAATATAATCGGTTTGAACTTAGGTAGCTGAGTACTAAGCTATAGCAGGTTTTTAAATGCGGATAGTATCATATATGGAACTTGTTAGCAAATATCAGTGCGGTAACTATATTTGGGTACTTTATAGCAGCCGGGTATTTGCCTAATATGTAAATTAGATAATTAATTTTGTAAATTACAAAAATTTTAATAAATTAGTGCAAGATTACTAAACGAAAAAAAAAAAAACTTATTAAGATTAGAGTAAGAATGGAGGTTAGAAGTTAGAGATTAGAATAGAGCTTTTTATAAAGTAAAATTTAGCAAGAAATTTTTTTGTTAGAATTTAAAAAATAGTGTTATAAACAAAATTTTGAAATATAAATATTTTTTAAAAAATTTTTTGTTTTTGTTATACAAAATTAATTTACATATTATATTTAATTTTGAATTTTAATTGGCAAATTAACTACAGATAATAATTACCTGGAATATAAATTATAATTAGAGTTAAAATTTTGCAATTTAGTAGTCTAGATATTTAACTTTTTACAAGCAGGTTTTAGATTTAAGTCATACTAAAAATAATTTTTAAAAATATTTAAAATAAAAAATTTAAAAGAAAAATTTATTATAAAAAGTTAATACTATATATAGTATATTAAAATAGTAAGTATTACAGAAAGTTTTTTTTTTTTTTTTTTTTTTTTTTTTAAATGTCGATGAGTTTCGCCATGACTACTTTTATTTATTAATATTTATAAGAACTATAAATACATAAATTTCAAATAAGAAGTCTGACATTACACGGTTCCATATCGCGGTGCAAAAACTAACTCAGGCCTATGAGCAACTTTGTCCTACCAGATCATAGATAACTGGAATTATCCAAAAAAAATTCTATAAAAAATGAAAACGAACTATGACTAAAAAGAGGAAATGAGCAAAAGAGGGAAAAGGGAAAAGAGCAAAATAAAAAATAAAAAAAAAACCTAAAAAAAGAAAAAACAGGAAAAAATAAAAAAAAATTTTATAGAACCAGGATAAAATGTAAAGAGGGATTTCACCTCTCTAAATTCTGACGGATTAGCGAAATGCAACCATGTGTTTGTTTATAGATAAATATGACACTTTTTTTATAGGACTTAGCCTGAAACTCTAATTACGGCAGCAGGTGGCTTGAGACATGGGTCCTCAGACAATGGCAGCACCTGGCTCAAAATACAAATTAGAACAGCAACGAAGCTATCCAGAATTGGTGAGAAGGTTGGAAAATAAATTTTACATTAAAGCAAAGCTTTACAGTAGAGATATACAAATATTGCATTTGTTATATAATTTTTATTAGCTATATATAGGTTATAATCATGCCTTCAGGGTTTTAGATATTTTTTCTTTTTCGCAATCAGTGTTTTTTTTTTCTTTTCTGTTTTTTCTTTTTTTTTGGTTGTTTTTGTTATTTTTTGTTGAAAAATTTTTTCCTTTTGTTTCATGCTTCTTAAGAAGAAGAAAGAATTAGAAGAGAAAAAAGAGATCCTGATACAGTGTATAACAACCTGTCAAATGATTGAAGGGGTATCCTTTGTTGATACAAAATCTGAAGCAAGTTTCAGATCTCACTATGAGACTAATAGTTGTTATACTGTAGCAGGTTGCATTGGGCTTCGGCTTGGTAAGTTTCTATTAGAATAGAGCATTATACTAGTCTAGGTTGTTATTTTGTATAATAATTTTATAGTAGTATATAAAATAAAATAAATAGAAGCAGGATCACTTAATATATAAAAAAAAAAAAATAGAAAACTTATTAAATTTTTAGAATGCCAGGAGTTTTTATTTGTAATCAAGAAATAACTAGTGATGATTTTTTTGATTTTACTAAACAAAATTTCTAAAATTGTAAGTTAAAAATAAACCAGTATTATGTCTGGCATATATATGCCACTGAAATTATTTTGGGTTTTGGAACCCGAAATTAAAAATTTTTCCCAAAATTGTTTTTGACCTATTTTACTTAAAACCTGAAATTTTTTGATACTTTTTTGAATAAACCAAAATATATGAAACATAAATATATAAATTTTATTTGCACTTCCTTATAAAAAATTTCAAAAATCAATTTCGGTGGCATATATAGTCTGGCAGAGTTTGATAAGGAATATAAAGAGAAAAAAAAAAGTTCATTCTCTTTATATAGTGTTTGCATTTGGATTATGTCCAATAAAAATTTTATTTAGATTTGAACAAATATAAAAATGGACTAATTCAAATAGTGTCTATGTTTAAATTTTTTTTCAAAATTTTCAGAATATTTTAGAATTTAACATTAATTTGACCTTAGCTTTACTATTTTGATTTGGAATATTTTGGAATAGAAGTTTATGTGTTTAATTTGGACTAAGTACCTTATATCTAATAAAAAAAAATATAAACAATATACCGTAGGTTTCCGAAAATAAGCTACCTTTTTTGGGCAAAAAAGTGGCACAAAAATCATGGGCTGTATATGGGATGACCCAAACTTGTAATATAGATTACATGTCAAAAGTGCTTGACATTAGGTAAATTAGGGTATTTTGCGAAACCTTACTATTTGGGTTTCTACTTAATCCCAAACTAGTAAGTTTGGGATGCAATCCTGGCTCAAATCATATGACCGCAATGGAAATCGCATGTTATATTTTGTAGAACCCATTTGACAAATGCTTTTATAACACATGTCTGATCTGCTCCGATTCTAGCAAGACTAAATAATTATTCACATATTTTGCCTTAATCTCAAGCTTGAGATTCACAAATGTTTAAAAAGCACCCATTAAATGAACTTTGCAAAATGCAATAAAATTTAGGTGAATATTTATATTGTAATCACGGGACTCATGAGGCTCTTGAAAAAAAATCATAAGATTTATCAAATCCAACTACCGTAATAAAGATCATATGCAAGCTCCGGGTCTGTTACATCCCACCGATTTTAAAACCTATAATAGACCCGGGATCTAGTACAAAGCTGAGCGTTTATATTGTAGCAATGTAAGAAGTCTAAGTTTTTAAAAACATCTACATTTATTTAATAGAAAACAATTAAATCGAAAACAGCGATAATTAAAAGTAAATAATTTTTCAATATAAATTTCAAAGTATTGAAGAATCTGCTATTTAATAATAAATTTGGTTATTATTTACCATTCAGTAACCTAATTTTTATGTTAATTCATTACTTATATGATTTGGCGTATATTATCTTGCTATATACATCATATAGCTTTAACTAAGTTTTAACATAAGGTATTAAGTGGTTAAAACTAGGTTAAAATCAATGTGATACTAATTATCACATGGTTTATGCCAGTGTTGTTAATTTTGGCTTCCAGTGGGAATTTCTAGCCTTCCAGTGAAATTTTGCTACAATAAAAATTTCAGTGGTCTTCCAGTGACAACACTGGTTTGGGCCGTCCCAAACAGTTTGAACGGCAACTATACATACAAAGTACTGACGGTACTAATCAATTCATTAAGCTTGTTTAAGCTTGTTTAAGTGGCATTAATTATCCATACAAAATAGAGGCAAAACGAGAAAGAATAAACAAGTTATTAAACTATATGCAGTATGATGATCATTAAAAATTTCCTATACATCATTATTCGTAGTGAAATGTAATCATGAGCAAGAGCATGAGCACGATCAAGATTTAGAGCATATAAAACGTTTTCAAATTCGTGACACTTTTATTACTTTCTATAGGCAGTTTTTCGCCAGGATACTTATATGCGTTGCATAACGTGAAAAGTTTTTTTTTTAGAAGGGTTATAGAGAGTTAAAATAAATTAAGCATTCACAGATGCATATTATCAACTTAGGAATAACTTTTACACATTCGTGACCAAATGTTCGAACTCAATTGGGTAAATTTTCAAAATAAGATAAATATTGCTGTTACGTGTTCGCGACAAAAACAGAATTTATTTAAAGTAATATCTCTGTTTCCCTTAAAGCATATATACTTTTTTCGTTAAAAATCAATCATAGCTTAAGATGTTTGAAAATCCTATAAAAACACGTTGAAAGTCTTGGAATAAAATGGTGTTGAAAGTTCATAGAAGTAAAAAAGCATATAACAAATTTTAAATAAATAATTATACATGTGTTGAAAGTTAATAGAGGTAAAAACATCCAACGAAATTTTAAATCAAATAATGAATACAAGTAAAAAAAACATATAGCGAAATTTTAAATTAAATAGAGACAAAAATGTCAGGTGAAATTAGACATATCTTTCATAAAAAACAAGCATGTTCTTAATCTCAGACGAAAATCTAGGAAATAACTTGTTGAATATATCAAATGTGTACGGTTGCTATCGACGCTTACTGAATTATCAAGTTTGAGTAATTTGCTACTGTAAACTCTGTAACTAAAAGAAAGTATACACTTACTTATCTAATATAAGAACAGTCTTTTTTATTTTCACTGCAATATTCACATGGCTCCTCCCCGATTTTACCTCCAACACATCTTTTTTTCCGGCCGTGACAGATATCACATGCAGCTGCTTTTCTTTTCCCTTCTTTCATTTCCAGAAATGATGAAGAGTTTTGTAAAGATTCTAGAAACTTGTTGTGGTAAAGAAAGAAATCGTCGCCAAGTATGTCCCTGAGGTAAACAAGGAAAGCATTGGCTGTCTTATGCTGAGATCCTTCTTCTTTGAGCTGAGACTCTTTTTTGTTGAGCTGAGACTCTCTTTCGTTGAGCTGAGATTCTCTTTCGTTGAGCTGAGATTCTCTTTTGTTGAGCTGAGATTCTCTTTCGTTGAGCTGAGATTTTTTTCCTTCGAAAAAGGAAGTTAATTTAGCAATTTCCTGATATTGTTGATTATTCTCTAAGGGAGACTGAAAAGATAAAAGTCATATAATCAGTTTCTGGTTCCCAAAGGATAAAGTCATGTGATCAATTTCCTAATCGGTTAGTTTTCTGGACTTGTCGTCAAGGAGCTTTTTTTTTATGTAAAAAGTTGAAAATTTGGCGTTTTTTTCATAAAAATTTCACCATCTCAGAATCGTGATTCAAAACAAATCAACAATTTTTGAAGAAACAAGCTTCAGGAATCTATATTCTCAAAGAGAAACCGAAAAGATGACGAGACCATATGAATATCTACCTGATATCTCTCTTGATGGATCTCCAAAAGAATATCTTGATACTGTTTTTGTTGAGAAAACTGAAAGAGATCACGTGATCAGTTTTCTGATGACGTTTTTAACTGTTCTCCGAGAGAATTGAGAAGATGGAGGTTATATAATTATTTACTTGATGTCCTTCTGAATGATCCTCTGAAAAAAACTGAAAAGATGAAGAGGTCAAATTATTAATTTCCGATATCGTTCTCGATAATTAACTGAGAACAGAAAAGATAGAATAATTTACTTGTCTTTGACCTTGATAGTTCTCCAAAGAAAATTGAGGATATGATGGGTTCATATAATCATTTTCTTGGTATTGTACTTGGTGGTTGTCTGAAGAAGACTGAAAAGATGAAGAGGCCATGTGTTTAAAGCTATCGGTCTAAAAGAAAAGGAGTGTTCAAAAGTTTTAATCGTAACCCTTTTGTTTAACAGAAAGATGACTTGATTTTGTATAATGAACCTCTGATGAGCAGATTTGCATATATTTTTAGGGTCTGATATCAGTTTGTTATTAAAGTTTTTTCTACGAGAACTATCAAATTGGTATGAAAGAGTGGATAGATTATTATTTTTTTTCGAATAATTTAGATTTTTTTCAAGATGCTATACTTTTCAAGACTTTTTGAAATTTCAGAAACACGGAATGCGCAAACTTTTATAGATATTTTCAAGAATGATATTCGGTTACATATGTAAGAAAAGATTTTCGAAAGTGCTGAGGAAAGATTAAAATAAATATATTGTGTTCCAGATACCAAAATTATCAGCCTAAACAAATTTAGATTTTGGGATATGACGATAAACATTTGGATGTATGCTAGATAATTAACTCCCTTATTCCCGTTTTTATTTATTTTACTTTATCTTATTTTATTTATTTATTTATTATTATTTTTTATTGCACGTGTATTAAGTAGTGACAATGAGTTCCGACTGTCGTATGCGAGATAAACGCTTGTGTATAACGATGTACTGGGTGTACAACATCGGTAATTACGTGAATTGGTAGGTGTCGGTGACTTTACCGCAATTGCAAATATAGCACAGGAGATTAACGATGGTTTAATGGTAAAAACATATAAAGTTCAAACTGCAATAACTGCAAACCTACACAAATAAATTTATATTTGTCGGGTTCATTATAATGTACTCTTTAAACTAACAACGCTCTTTTTTTTAAATTCTTATTTCTAGAGCGTAGCGGGGGAATTCGCCAGGGCGACCACCAAAAGTACGGGCACATGATAAGACGCCACGACCACTGCATAATTTCTTAGAAAAATTGATGAATCGTCTAGCTCCTGCATGCAGCTTTATTGTTATGAAATTTCTTAAAATGAAATGTGTAACAAATCGTTATTAAGATATAGCTGTGGCATCTTATCATGTGACCGTACTTTTGGTGGTCGCCCTGGCGAACTCATAGTGGGGGACACAAAGTACCGAAACTCTCGTTTTTGATGTATTGTGTAAATTTTTTGTGCGCATTGTATGATACAATATGCAATTGTTTTTGATGTTTTTATTAACATTATATCAAAAACGAGAATTTTGTTGTCATTTGAGTACTTCCACAACAAATCGGGACTTTAACCGAAATTAAGATTTTTATTGGATTGTATTCTATACGCAGTAATTTTACATACGTTGACTCTGTTCTAATTTTAGACTATAATGGATGTGCATGTGCATACGTACTAAACTATATTATATTATATATATACATATATCTAAATTTATTTCAGCAATCAAATTATCATTTCTAAGCCCCGATTTGCTGTGGAAGTACCCATTTTTAGTCCCCGCTATGCTCCAGACAATAAAAAAAAAATAAAAATGAGCGTTATTAAATTAAAGAGTACGTTATAATGAATCCTATAAATATAATTTTATTTGCTGGTTTAAGAGCTATTGTAATTTGAAATTTATATGGTTTTACAATGGATATTTATTTGGACAAATTTGGACATAGAAATTTTGAAATTTTTATTGGACATAGTCCAAATGTAAATACTGATCTACAGCACTGCATAAAAAATCTTGATTAGTGATCTTTATTATCTCTAAACTCGATTGTTTAAGGGCGTAAACCTTGATCATATAGCATTGCACTATGTAAACCCTGTTTATAATATATACTTTAATTTTATTAAATGACAAAAATATCCGCAAATATGTATAAGATATTGGTCATGCAGCGACAAATAACATGAAATTTGTGCAAACGGGCAAATGGTGGCATATGATCGTCTGGCACGTGCCAGCCAATCATATGCCACCATTTGCCGTTTGCACAAATTTCATGCTGCATGACCAATATCTTATACTTCATTGTTAAACGATTTATGCATTTATTTTTTGATGCATGTGTCCGCTGCACCTAACCAAAAATAAGAAATAAGCCTTATGATAAGATTTCTTGTAGGCAAGTACTACTTATGATGAGTGAGAGTTCTTGCGCCGATAAAATTTTATCGGCTTTGTCGATTTAGCCGAAAATTTTATGAAACTCGCGCCATACATCCTGAAGCTGCACATAAGCCCTTGAGATAAGATCTTGTAGGCAAGTACTATACTTACTACTGAGTGAATCTTTTGTTGATAAAAATTTTATTGGCTTGGACATCTGGTAAAAAAATTGACCGAATGATATCTGGCCGATTCGATAAGTTTTTGATTCAGCAATTGCCGATTCCGTCCGTGACAAAATCAAACTCTGCAAAAATTCCGTGCATTAAAATTTATGAATTCTCATAAATTCTGTGTTGGTTGTAATAGAAACTTCGAATGTTCTGCAATAAGTTGATTGCTTATTATTTGGATAATTTCGAATATCAAGTAAAATTTTTAACTCGACTATGCTCGTACTTTAGTTTCATTTATTTTCGGAAGCTATATTTTTAGCATCATGTACTTATAAAAAAATTATAAAAAATTATAAACCTACTTTCTGCGACAATTCCGTCGCATTCCGTGTTTAGGACCTGATTTCGTGAAATGCAGAAAATCATCGGCCCTGAGCGATAATGATGCCTTACTATTAACAGTCTACAAAATAAATCAATTATTTTTATGGTATTTCAATGATAAAATCATTGTTATTATTCCATAAACTGAAATAGTAAACTCATTGAATAAAACTGTTATTGCATACTATGTTATCAATAACTGTTGTATTTTATGCTCTCTTCTGATCGTTCGGTAACCCAGCCGTACCGGGTTACCAACCAATCATCATCGACCATAAAATACAACATACTGTACTTCGCATGCAATAACTATATAATATTTTTTACGATTGTATTCTGAACGATACTACAATGTCAACACCAAAATTAAGTCTTAGCAAAAATATAAGGGTTCTTATTATAAGATGAATTTTCATAATATGTATATTGCACGAGGAGGCGCTAATAAAAAAAAGTTCGATATGAACAAAAATTTATCGACTGGGCAAAGAAATATAACTCAAGTTATAAATTCAAACAACCAAGTTTTTATTGATATTTATCGAAACTGCATTAATTCGTAGTAAAAATCTATGAATATTTTATTTATTAATGTAATATAAAAAAAATTGTATACTTTAAGATGTATAAATAATGTAAAATAAAATATGATGTGACGTGTGGCTGTTCGGAATTTCAATTCCTAGAACAATGCATGAAAACGTAGGCTAACACACGTACGCACGTACATAAGTACGTAATCATTTCACAAAATTCCGATATTCCTAATGAGTTTTGTAAGAAATAAGTGTCTCATGCTCACCTTTTTCGGCCGTAAAAACTGTATCGAACCTTCATGTTAACTTTTTAAGATATTTAAAATAACACATTTATTTAAATTGTGTTATTCTCTACGTATTATACATTATTAATGTGTTTACTAATGCCCTGGATAATAATCTGGATAGTTCTGGAAATTTCGATTGATAACTTAAAAAATCATCTACGCTATTCGTGGAATTATGATCACATGTGCATTTTCGAATTAATCAAATAGACTGATATCGATATGCGCAAATTTATTTCAAAATCTGGAATTGAAAATTTGTGCACAAGAATACTTTTTCTCGAACGGTGGTTTTTTTTTAGTTTAGATTAATAGAAGTTTTGGAGGTGTTAAATATTTTTACTTGAAACACTTATTATTAATTATAATCTGTTTTTTTTTTTATAAATATAGCAAAAACATTGTTTTTGACCATTTGATCCATTTTTATTGATCTGTCTTAAAAAGATTCACGTCAAATTTAATCAATATGATGCGACACGCATATTATGTTCGTTAATTGAAGAGAGTACAAACCTTTGGAAATAATTGATACAGTACCGTATAGCGCTGCCTATAAGACCCGGTCTTATTCAAAAAACTCACTCAGTTGACTTAAATAGTACTTGAGGTACTGTGTGAGGAGGTGAGTACTATATAAGAAGAAAATACTGTATATCGTAATACATTTAATAATAAGGCCTATGGGAATACGATTCAAAAATATTGACATCTATACAATATATATTTTTAACAAACTTATTAATTCGAACTAATTTTTTATCAGGGGGTACTATATACGACATATCGGCGGATTTGCATTAGTCCTGAATTGATCCTAAATTGTATCCTCAAAGATATCCGCAAAGTGAACCCCTAATTTTGTATATAGCTAACAAAACGTACAGTACATAGAAAGGTAATTTAAGGGGTAAATAGATACAATTACAATGTCATTGTATCTTTATATGTACACTCCCCTGACAAAAGTCACCGGCTGTCAATCATTTTTAGTAATGATCGGTAAAATGATAAAAATTTTCTAACTGATTTTATGGGAAAAAATTTATTAATGTATTCAAATTTTTTTTAAAAAAATTTCGCTAATGCTTTATTATATTTATTTATGTAAT